TAAATCTTTGCCTCTGGTTCTGAAACTTTCACTTTTCAATTCAGAGTATGTTTCGAAGAGAATACAAAAAATAAAATAAAATAAATAAAACACCTAAGCTCTCCATTTTTTCCCAGGGTCAAGAAAGAGTTTGTTTTGTTCTTGCTGAAGAAACTTGAAGCTGCTGAAGACAGAGTTCCCCAGGTGATGTCACGGCATAAAGCTACTGCAACTAAACCTGTCCCTCAGAGTCTCCACAACACAAATCAGACAACTCCATAAGAGGGGAAAAGGGGAAAAGACAGAAAGGCTCTGAACTGCTGATATGCTCTCCCTTTCTCATCACATTGTCCACTTCTGCATTCAGTGAATCATCGCCCTGTAAAGTGCATTTGTTACTGTAGTTTTGGGGCTAAAAAGTTGCTTGAATTTAAGATATGATCACAAGTCAAACCATATTGTTCTTTTTTCTCACATATTAGTGGGACTTTATTACTACTTTCTTACGGACACACCAATTCCAGAGTACTTGGCATCAGCATTTTCCACATCATTGTGATATGATCTGTCCCAAATGCGACCCAGACAATAGCCTGATCCAGCCTCAGTGAATCCAGGTCAGAGGTGAGGATCCGGTTCACCAGAGTTTACCTGTCTATTTCCTGCAACACTTGCACAACGTGTGCCGGTCAGGCTAAGAAAACACTAAAATACATATGTGAAAACACAGACACAAACACACACATTTGCATGTGATCTCTAACCGAGGCAGCGGACTTCCACCTTGCCAAGCTGAAAAAACACTGGTTGGAGGGGGTGAGGTTATGAGTGGGCCTGGGTTTCCTCTCGAAGAATTAAGTCACACAAACATCAATCAGACAGTGTGTGTGTGTGTGTGTGTGTATGTGTGTGTGTGTGGTGAACAAGTGCAGACAGCTAGTGGCGCTTCACGGTCAGCAATGCGTGGATCAGGGAGGTGAGGGTTACAGTCAAGTCAAACTTACAGCGGGATCGAGCTCATTCGCAATAAAAGCATGACAGTGAGCGTGTCAGCCTGGCTGCTTATATTTCAAGGCACTCTTTTGTGTCTCTGTGGTGTCTTCGAACATTACCAACTCTCAGACGTATGGGCCTTAGGTAAAGTAGAAAGGCAAATTGACCTCCCATGTCATTGCACAAAAATCATTTCTCATTTCTATGACAATATTGCATCACTTTTCAGCCCACTGCCTGCTATTTTCATTCAAGATATAAAATTCAAGAAATTCTTTCGACAAAATCCTCACTTGCAATTATGGAAAAAATAGCAGAAAAGCCATAAAGGTGCACATATCAAAAGATGACACACACTAGCATATATATATGTTGTAAAAGGAAATGAAAGTGAGTCCCTTTCTGCAGTCCATTACGGTTAATTACAGCTTTGTGCTGGGATGCTTGTATGAGAGCAGGGTTGGTAATTAAAGTACAGGTAAGACATTAACTTACTTTTGTTAGCCATTAATCAGTGTTTACCTTCAGAGAGCTCTCCCTTTGTAATTAATAATCAGCTTGGACAATGAGTAATCACCCAAGAGGAAGTTGTGTGTGAATGTGTGTGTGCTTATGTATGCGTGTGTGCTATTAGCAAAGGGGTTTTCCCACCTTTGAAAGAGCAGCCTTACTGATCAAACAAGCGATCATCCATCTCACCGGAGAAAAAGTCAATAAACTAAGCAACAAAAACAGAAGATCCTTTACACGGGGCACTGTACTGTTTTTGCTCTCTTTCCATCCATCTATTTCTTGTCACTCTCATTCTCTCACATTTTACGTTTCACTCGTCTCTTGGCATCTGAACAGCAGAGTAGGTTTAAAATGATTACATTCTGGGAAGGCCTCGGCACCCAACTCCCTAACTTATTTGTGTCAGCCTTGCACCTATTGCGACACACACACACACACACACACACACACACACACACACACGCAAAGAGAGCTTTTCCAGCAGGAGATTGGTTCCACTTTATCTGCATATTTAGCCTGTGTTCAGCGTGCTGCTAACTGATAAAATTCTGCTAGTGTGCCAGGCCGCTGCCAAACGCCAGAGCAATGACCTTCTTGGGGGAACAAATTCCTTTTGCAAGACGGAAAAAAAGAGTGGAATAAAAACAAAAAGATTAAGACCAAAAAAAGTTAAAAATGAAAGGAGGGAAGCTAATCAGTCAAATGGGAAGGGAATGAATCCAGGTTTTTAACACATTTAAACAAGAAATGGAGATGTTAGTGGACACCCCCGCATCGCATTATTTTCCCTCCCTCTCGAAGTCCTTCCAGGCCCGTCAGAGAGCCGTGTGCTGGTATACATTGCTTCACAGATGATTAAAAATAGCAGACAAGCTCTGCCCCCACTTCTCCTTACCCCCTTCTGCCAAGAGTCTACCAGCATGGTGAACACAATCATCATATCATCACTGCACACACAGGGAGGCAGGACGCAGGCGGAGGAGGGAAGAGGCTGATGTATAGAGAAACTCCGAAACAGAGAAGAGTAAAAAGAAAAGGAAGAACAGACGGAGAGACGGCAAAAGAGCAACAGCAAAACTCATACTTCAACCCATTTTCCCATCATGTTGCCTGACCAAAACACATCCAATACTTTGCTAGCCTTCAGACATCTTTGTGTGTGTATGTGTATGTGTATGTGTATGTGTGAGTGTGTATGTGTGTTGTGTGTGTCTGATCGTATGCCATTCTCCACAGCAGCCGAGTTGCCCCGGGCCTGGCTGAGTCTGGCTCCACACAAGAGCAGCGGTTCACATTGTGATGTGTGTCTTTGCATATGTGCATGTGCACGTGCATGCATGACAACAAGGATTCGCCGGTCTGTTTTCTGTAACTGAGAGGCTTTATCTCCAGCCCCGATTGCTAACACCCACCCACCCACACACACACACACACACACCCATACCGCAGCAACCCAGACAACAGCAGTCATGGTAGGAGAAAAGGTGACTGTTTGGAGCTGTATGTGTATTGATTGAAGTGCTGGGCCACGATGCCTTGACAGCCTTCCCTCAACCTTCTCTCAACCTCGTCACCTCTGTTGCTCTGCTGTGACTCTCACCACAATGGCTGCTGCTTGTGAACCTGCCAGGCTGCCAAGGACACAAAGATGACTGAGTCAACCTTTGACATCAGAAGCTGCCACCAAAAGACCAGAGACAAGCCAAGTTGGCAGCTCTGTTAACAGGCTAGAGACCCAGATCTTTTCAGCTTAGTTAAAGTAGCAAAAGTCAATGGAGCACAAGTCAATAGTGCATACATATGGATGGACACTGTGTCAAACAGGTCTGTGTCTGGACAATGTTGGGCATGCCAAAAGTTTCAAAAAGGTGACCTCAATATTTTGGCCCGATCACTGCTGTCTTCTGAATGACAGCAGTCACTGAGGAGAGTCATACATTATCAAAGTAAGAAACTGACATTTGAACATGAAATACAGCATGGGTTTTGTATTAAAGGATAGATGACATTTCGAGGAGTTGATTCACTGGTAGATGTTAAGGCCACCCACCCACACAGCTCCATGTGGAACATGGTGTTTTAGTGGACGAGATGAGATAGGAGTGCGAGAGATGTATTCAGTGACATGTGGATCATGTGCAAGATGACCTATACATTCACCATGCTGTCAGTGAGGAGCTTTGACTTGAATAAAATCACCAAGCAAGACCTCCTGAGCGATGATGGAAATGAGAGAGGAGACGAGGATGTCTGCGTTCTAAAGTAACAATCAATGCTTAAACACACACACAGAGTAAAAACAGGTGTTTTAAATACTTATGACAGATATACTGTGTCCTGTATAAGGCAGGACTTTCCTTTTGTTTCTCTGTGTGAGTGCCTGTGCGTGTGTGCCTGCATGTGTGTCACTCTTCAAACAACGCTGCAATCATCATCTCTTATCAACGCTCATGTTGAGGATTACAGCTTTCATCCCTAATCCTACATTAAGGACACATTCTCATGATGGACGTGACATCATCAAGGCCAGTCAACCACAGAGAGGGCACAAGGACAGGAAGCCAAACACCACAGGAAAGGATTAATGAATATAGGAGACAGAGTGGATGATGAAAAAGAAAGAGGGAGCGGGTGTGACAAAGAAGACAAAAATAGAAATGAACTCAAACAGTACATTTCTAAAATGTGTGTGAGGCAACCTCTGTGTATTTGTGTTTCAAGATAATCTGACACTGCTTCCGTTTCTCAGTTTCTTTGACAGTGATCCTTCTCAATCAGCCCTACTAAGACCTACAATCTGCCCAGTACCCAGAAGCATGTGGATGCACACACACAAGAACAAATACTGTCAACACACACAGCACACTGCACTGGTTGAACTCTGATAATCTGCACATGTAGACTGCTATAAGCCACTGCTGAACACACACCGGAGTACAACAAATACCGAGGAATGTATTCGTAATTAGCACGTCTGTCATTTTTGACAGAGTTTTGCTGTTTCTCAAAAATAATTTCACTCACCTGCACTGGCACCACCTTTATAACAGTCTCAAGCTGGATACAATGGATCCACCCAGGAATAAAGCATTCAAGACAAAAACATCTAAACTTGATATTTTTTCTTTTAGAAGATAGAAAATCACTAATTATTTCATGCTACATGTAAGGGACCTGTAATCACGGATTTGTTGAAGTACCTGTATTTTAGTTATAATTGTTCCAGTTATTATTATATTACTGCTTGTGAGCAGTTTCTTACTACTGCTCACTACACTACTTACAATGCAACTCTCTGCCCATAAAAAAAACACTTCTCCAAGGCTGACGCACTGCCTGTTGCTTGAGAAGTGAAACTCTGAATTGACCTACAGCTTGTGTACCATTACTTTATTTTTCAACTATCTTGAGTAAAATTAAATTCCCTACACATTTTTTTTTTGGATTTGGAAACGGAATGCAATCCATGTAATGCTTCAATGACAGAAATCAAATAATTTTATTTTGTTTAATACCTGCAGAGACTCTGGGGCAATCTGGCAGCATGGGATCCAGCGGTGTGTCCAAGGGCTCTGGACTCGATACCCAGTTACAACAGTGCTGTCAGGGGGAAAAAAAAAAAATTACAATTGAAAATTGTGAAGGCAGACTTCTCCTTTTCGATATATGTTACACCTAGAAAACATGTAAATGGATTCCACATAGACTGCTTATAGCATGTGAAGGGTGTGCATACAGGAAATTAATATGTGGCATCCAGCAACCTCCACAATTACTCCCACAAACAAAGAAAAATACAACATGAAAACACAACAATGAAATGGATTTCATATAGAATGTATGTGTTCAGTGTTGTTGTTGAGTACAATATGAAATCACATTTAAAGAGATATTAGAAAGAAACAAAGACAGGCACATGGACACAGACAGAGGGGGGGAAAAGAGTGAAAACAGAAAAGAAAGAGAGACAAAGAAAAGGAGGACAGGTGGGGAGAGACAGTTAGCAAGAAAGAGGTGTGTGTATAGATGAGCAAGGTGGGGGAAGAGAAGGAGAGAGAGACAGGAACAAGCAATTAAAAGCTATGTGACATGTTGCTCAGACAGCTTGGCGTTTGTTTGTGGTGGAGAGCTGAGGCCTTCTACCATGGTGGATCAGTGGGTGCCCTGGGGGAGGGTGTCTGCCCAGCTTGCTGACCCATAACCCTCTGCAAACACCCCTACTCCTCTCAAACCCCCTGTGGTTGACAACTCTACTGTCAGAAAGAGGAGAAGACCTCTTTATCTGTTTTTGCTGTCTTCATCTCCCTGCCTGTGTGGCAACCCCTCTTTCTACCTACCACTGTAGGTTATTTCAGACATATACGGTTTAAGCCATGATGTACCATTAATGAAGTGTATCAATGCCTTAGAACAAAGCAACTTTTTCAGTGCTTGGAGTTTTCAGTCTCTGGGTCAGCAGATGACAACACATCAAAGAGTGTTTTCCCTTTTGACTGTGCAATGTGGATTGGTATGCTGTGGCTTTTAAGGTTAGTACAAAAACAAGGGAAAAGGGAGAAAGAGACAGAGGGAGGCTGAGAAGGAATGCTTAGAGAAGACGTTCCCCCAGATAAGATAAAAGTTCAATAGAAGAAAGAGAAAATGTAAAGAGATTAGAATGTGCAGCTGGCGTCCTTCTGAATCACTGCTTATCTGCCCTTGTTTACTTTCACCCTGGCCCCCTGACAGCCATTACCGCGTTGTGCATGCTTGTGTGTGCATGTGTGCTTGTGTGTGTGGGTCAGTGACTGCATTTCGGGGGGTCTCCCAAGAAGATGTGTGGCGTCGGGAACCCGTCAGACTCAAATACACACACAAATGCACACGTGCTTTGACATTTTTGCTCTCAGCGACCCTGACTCCCAAGGCCCTGAAAGAGAACTCGCTGGATAAACAAATCTATGAAACATCTCCCACTTGAACCACTTCTACATACACACAAAAATCCAGGGTCGCTTCACACTTCTGCTCCTGCTATCATGCCTCAAGTTACCCCCTTCTCACAAAGACACACTTTTAGGTGTAATGGTAGGTATGAATAGTGGCAAATATGTTGTGTGCTAGTGTATGAGAGCTCACTGTTTTTCTGTATGAATATGAACATGAACAGAGAGACATTGAACATATCTGATGCCTATTTGAGCCCCTCTTGGGGCTTGTTTTTTTGTTGACACAAGTATCTGCAGATATGTCAACGCAAATGTCTTATGTTACTGTCTGCTTGACATTTACTACATCTTCTGCTGCGCAGCAGTGATTTATTTACTGTAAGCTTATAGAGACATATAGAAATTTATTGCAAGAGATGATCATGATGAAACATCTGGCACATGTATGCAAATCCATAGCAAATATCATCAAGTAAGTAAACAAATTCAGTTGGGAAATGTGTACAAAAAGGTTTGTTATTATAATAAAGTTCTCCTCATGTGTAATCCATTCATATCCAATCAAAAAAATGAAAATGAACTAAAGTACAAACTGAATCCACCTACTCTTAAATAGTAGAAATGCCCAGTTTATTCTCTTCAACTATGTTTAATTTCTTTAGCCCTGTCAATCAAATGTGCCAGCAGTTGGAAGAGACGCAGAATAACAAGACTCAAAAAGGTTGAAGAAAGATCAGCAAAGAGATGAGAGGGGATGGAGGGTAGGAGGTTGGGGGGTTTAGTGTTGGAGGGAAGATGACAAGTCATCTTGGTAAACAGTGGCATATTGTGTATTTTTAGATCCTTTGCTTTGCCCTAGATGTGCTCTCCTCTGAGCCTGGGCTTGAGGGCAGAGCGGTGCAGAGCAGCACAGAAGCTGTGGGGCTCCTTGACTGCTACATCAAGTGTCTCATTGTATCTCCTTTAATTCATTCAGTCTGTCTGGAGGAAGATGTCAGCTGGGCTGTGGAGCAGTGGGCTGAAGGCGGCTGGAGAGAGGGGAAGGAGAGGAGTCTTTCAAAGGGCCCTCCTCCCTCCCCTACACCTCCACCATCACCACCAATGGAGGCAGGGAGGCTGAGGTTTGAATAGATTTGTCAAGGCAACAACACACATGTGCACACAAACTCTTGCATAAATGCACACACACACAGCACAAAGCCCCAGTGCTGTGGGAGACCGCAGGCATAACAGCAGTCACATAAAGGCAAGGCCTGCTGGCTGGGATTAGAGAAGGGCGACATGACAAAAGGATGCCACATCACATCGGCTGCCTCTGACGCATAGCATCATCACTTCAAGCAGCTCGTTCACCGATCAATGGTGCCATTGAACTAAAGGCCGACAGAGAAACAAACATGTAAACAGATTTGACTCCCCCCCCCACCTCTGCTGCTCCATGCATGGGTTTCTCTCTGTGTGTAGATTTGTGCTGTTTATGGACACATACATGTACCCAGGCACATGGACTGCAACACACTTTGTTACAAGGCATGATCCCCAAGATGACACAAAAATAAAAAAAAGATCTTTTAAAGTTGCGAGTTTAAGGCTACAGCTATCTAACAGGCAAAGAGCCCGGTCTGAGAGTGTAAATGACAAGCAGGTGACAGGCCCCCTCTATCTGGGTGAATTATTTTAAGCGTTCCTTGTTATGTGCATAGTGAATGTGCGTATTTGCCTGTGTGTGTGTGTGTGTGTGTGTGTGAGCCGCCACCTGTTGCCTTCTGCAATTCAGAGTGGAAGCCAACCCGCTGCTTTCATATACACAACAAAAACACATGCACACACAAAGCACTGCACTCAACTGATGGCAGCGTATTCTAATTGAGCGATCATAAGATCAAATATGTTTTTCATAGGTTCAATCTACTACATAGTAATACATAGGAAGTGTCACAGGAATACACTCACAAAGCCTCTCAAAGGAATTCATTCTCTCTACTGTCCAAAGCTGTAGTAAAATGAAAGTGAAAACGCTGTGAACTCAGATTTGGCCCAAATTCATCGACAGCCTTTCAATATCAGAATGCAAACACTGAGTATAAAACAAGTGGATAAAGGTGACTTAAGCATCAAATACACTACGAAATGATGTCATGCTGATGCTTCTAGGAAACTGTTATACAGCTCCAAATACAAAGATGAAACACTAGTTTGTATATATTTGCATACAACTGGCTCCATTCGATTAAAATACGTCTGATTTCTTAAAGCGCACAAGACTGAGTCCCATGATAGAAACTCTTTACAAAGTGCACAAAAGTCTCCTAAACCATAACACACATGACAGCCCGCAACCTAACTTCTCAGAAAGTAGTCCTGAGTATCAATTCTTGCTCACACTCCTCTGTGTCTGCCTCGCTCCCACCTCCTCCAGTTGCTGTATAATCTCTATGGATTAGGATGGTTTATTCATGACCATAGTGTAGTCTGTATGTGTATGTGTGTGTGAGTGTGCGTGTGTGTGTGTGTGCGTTCTGGGCAGGCCACTAGAGTGTGACAGCAGGCCAGCACAGTGACAGGAGACACCTTGGAGACTGTGACAGGCTGCCAGCTGTACACCATCATTCGGATTTCTCTCTCTCACTCACTTCTCCTCACTATGCTACTCATCTACTGGATCTCCACATACATCTCTTCATCCCCTCTCTTCCATCTGTATTCTCTCCATTCATATCGTACCTGTCTTTTTGTTTTTCTTTTCCACAGCTCTACCCGGTGCTTTCTCAGTGGCAGTCAACAGGGCTTAAATAATTGAACGTTTCTCATACTTTATTTCTTTGTCTATTTCTTTTTCTGTCTCAGTCAATGGGTGAGTCTTTCTATCACTGCCTTTGCTTATTCCCTCTCCTTTTTCTTTTCTCTCACCTTCACTCTGTATTTTATCTCCTCGCTGTGACGTCAGTTGCCCCTCGTCTGACCTATCTGGTCTATATAACCTGGCTCAGTAGGGGCCGATCTCTAAATCCCATCTTCTCTCTTTTACTCTTCTCATCGCTTCATCCCACCGTCCAGTGACCTCTTGAACCCCGGAGGAAGGGAATTATCTCTCTCCGACGAGAACAGAGCAGTGCGCGGCTGGGGTGCCCCGACCTCACATGCACCCACTGCTATGGGCACCCATATTTATACACCACCCAGGGCATTACTCAGGTTCAGTGTTAGCGCCCCTCTGTGATTTACTACAGCATCTAGGCTGCCCTCCATGTGTGCCCATACCTTAGTGTGAAATGCAAGTGTTATTTATGTTCAAAATCCAGCTGTGTATGGGTTACTGATATAGATGTCCTTTAAAAAAGGGCACTGTATTCATCTCCTCCCTGTCTGTGGGCTTGTGTATATAGGTTTTCCACAGCACCAACAAGTGCACTCAGTTGTAAACTGTGAGTGTTGACAATTCAAAGCCTAACATCCAAAAAAAAATAAAAAAAAGATTTTGGATTCAACTCATTCCTCATGCAGACCTGTGGCTTGTTAACGAAGCCTGCTATCCACGCCCAGCAAAAAGTAATGTGATGAAACACTAAATTAAAGTCATACAACTGAACTGAAGTGAGCAATTTTGAAATATAAGACAAGATTTTACTGAGTTTCTCCCATCAGTATCAATCAGTGAAGCTAAATGTTTTTAAAATAGCACCAAATCACAACATGTGTCATCTCAGGGCTCTTTGCACAGGTGAGGTCAAGACCTTACAGTATTATTGAGAGAAACCCAACATTTTCCCATTCAGCAAGCACTTGGTGACAGTGGGGAGGAAAAATTCCCTTTAAACAGGAAGAAGCCTCAGGCAGAACCAGGCTCAGGGAAGATCGCCATCTGCCTCAACTGTTTGAAGTGAGGTAATGGAATCAGATGTTAAGATATCCAAAACTTACCACTGATCTGCAACATGTATCACTATTAGCCATTTTCATCTAACAATACATGAGCAACTAATGATCAAACACTTTGTATTAAAAACACTGTGAGCACCAATTTTTTTATGAGTAAGTTGGCGAGAACAACATCAACAGTTTTTGCAATTGTGGAAAAAAAAATAACATAATGAATTTAAAGGTCCCTTAGAAAAACGTATGAAATGTTTGTTTGGGAATTAGCAACAAGTAACAAATCCTCTTTTAGAATTGCAGGCCCAAAACTGTATTGGTAAAGTCGAGGATTAAAAATGTAAGGAACAGAGGCAGAGTGTATACAATCATTAGGTGTAGACATCTCCAACATTTTTTTGTTGTTTTATCATTGAGAAGGACATAGCAACGCATAGGTGTGCCACTGTTTCCTTTTAATTAGGCAGGCTCCTCTCTTAATTCAGCCAAAAAGGACAGTGGGTTAATGAGTATGAGAGAAGAGTGAATCCTTGCCCGTCCCCTTCCCCTGACTGGACAATGAAGGTTATTTCAGATTTATTGTTCTGGGTAATCATCACAAATAGAAAATCATTTAACATTCCAATTATGTGGTGTCCCACACATCCCTTAGATGAATCAAAAATAGGAAATGCCAAACAAGGATAAGGGGGCCAGTGCAACCTTGAATCCCCACCATTTAAACTAACATACGTACACATTCACCGACAAGTGACACACTTGAGCACACCAACCTCATCCACGCGGAATTGGAGATCACAGAAATAGCAAAAACTAAAGCAAACGATATAAAAGAAAATGCAATACAAATAAAGGTATGGTATGGGATTGTGTGTGTTTTTGTGTGTGAGAGCGTGTGTGAGCACTTGACATTTGCATCTCTGGCTCTCCAGCAGCTTTGGTCTTGGCTCGTCCTCATCTGTATGTGCATACTGAGTGAACCCAGGTGATGCATATGGCACAGAGGTCACACCAGAAAGGGCAAATGCTAAAATGAAGCTAACACAAATGCACATGTGCACGTGAATTTTATCTCACACTCTCACGCACAAGCACATATGAACAAATGCACGGATGCCTACAGGTACTATGCATGCCAAGCCACACACATATCGAGTACATGCAACAGCGAGGGTTAACGGTTTTTCATTGACATGCATCCAGGAAGAAAAAAAGTGGACGAGGATTAAAACAACAACAACAACAACATGCAAACAATAGTTCTCCATGACTTCTAAGACTGGCTGTTAGTCAGGGGTGCCAGTGTAGGTCATGAGGCTTGTGGAGAGAAATTAGAGAGGAGCAAAATGTGAGAGACTTTGGCTCATTGCTAAAGGAGAATTTACATGATGAGATGAGAGCTCAGGGATGGACCTCTGTACACTTGACAGCGTCTTTGTTTGCCTTTGGTATGTGAGTGTGTATTGGTTAATTCACCTGCTGCATCCAGTCCTGTGTGCCTTTGCTGGTCTCCTGTAGCCAGATGTTGTGAGCAGAGTCAGTCAGAGCCACCGCACACACTCTGTTCTTTACTTGCATTTCTCTCTGATTCATCTGCCAGAAAAAGCAAATCAAACTTGGGTTAGTCATCCTTCCAGCATCTTAATCACACAGTCACTTTTGCTGAGGAGAAAACAGTTACAAACAACATTTGAATGCCACAGACACCTCACGTTGTAAGAGACATCTCCTTTTTAGAAAAACAAATTATGCATTTTAAAATGTATGATGTGAATAAAAATTTTAATATGACATACTAATTGTGTCAGTAGATATTTGTCAAATAAAAAATGTATTCCCTGTCCAACATGCACTGTCAGCCTGCTTCTATGATAGCAACGGCCCAGTGGACAGCTTTGTAACCGGAGGATACAGATTCCACCTGCTGTATAGCATAATGTTATAAAGTGAAATATGAAAGAGCGCAGCTCCACCATAGCGTGTCCTTGTCACGTTCTGTGCAAATGTCCTTCCCTGCGCACGTTCAAATACCTTGGTCCCCATTCTTAATACCCTTTCCCTTCACATGTCACAGAGAATGTGGCGTTCGCAGGCCCGTCTTCTTATTCCCCTCTGAATGTCAACGCCAAGGAAAATGTCACACAAAGGACTTGTTACCACACTACAATAGACTTCCCACACTGCTGGTCCCACCCCAAGGAGTACTATAGGCAGGCCTTGGGAACAAGCCATTTCACTCTGCTTCGCTTTAAGATAAAATGGGAAGAAAGGGGAACAGGACTTGCAACAATAGGTTAACAATCACTTACTGTATACATTTAGTGAAGGTAGAAAAGAAACGGGTAGACTGGGGATGAGCACAGTGCTGCAGAATAGCACTAAGTTTAGTGACTGCCTACGAATCTATGACTTTAAAGTCATACAGATCAAATTTTACCAGCATTAAAGCTTCAACTTAAGTGTAAGTCTAGAGAAAGGAAAAATATTTGAAGCACCCTGAACAACTTAAATTGGTGTTGGTGTTTATGGCTTGGTGCCTAGGAATAAGGCTAGGGCTTCAGTGGGAGATCTAGGTAAGGTTAAGGCTAAGGCAGGGATTGGAATATCAGGCATTAGTTGGTGCTTGCATGTAAGAACAGGATAAATATTGCCCTGTAAAAGCCCAAGTGCAATAAAAAAAAAAAAAAAATCTGGGCTGAGGCACAAGTACAAAGCTGTTTTCAGAGGGAATGGAGGGTTTAGGGTGGGACTTGAGTATGAATCTGTGTCTAACTAATGCTGGAGCAATCACACAGAGCAGCTCTGGCTGGCTGTACATTAAAATGACGGTGGGCATTTGAATACATCCTCCCCTGCCCAGCCAAATTAAAGTGGGAGTGTATAGAGATAAATGGAATCTATTAAGGCACTAAGGACTCATACATCATCCAGCTGATAAGGCTTCCACTGGAGCTTCTTCACCATAGTGGAGAACACAGCAGACTGAGAGGGGAGGTACAAACACAAAGGATAAAGTGCACAACTGTAAAGACGGACACAAAAAATGACATACAGTGCACGTGTATGCACAGACACATTTGCTCACTCACACAAAATCATACTATCACATACACACCAGTACACACTCCTCACTGTGCTCCCTCCTCATCCACGCTTGGTTGAAAAGCCTTCCTCTGGCAGAACTGGGCCCATGGGGATAGCAAAGTCAACCTTTTAAAACTGGAGATGTCAGTCAAGGTCTTGTTTTCTGGCGCTAGCCAAATGGGCCAGTCCCTAAGTAAGGGGGCTACTAGTAGAGGCCAGAAAACAGCAGACAGTGGACTGACTGCCCGTGGAAAACCCTAAGCACATGACTTCAATCTAGTAAAAAACATTGCCCAAGCCTGGACAGAAAATGTTTTCCAATCTCCAAGTCTCTGCTTGCGCCTTTTGTATGTTCTTTAAAAACATCCACTCAAATGTTTTTTTTTTTCCATTAAATGTAAAACCTGAACATGTTTTACATTGGTATGCTTCACTGCATATCACAGATACATTAAATCTTTAACACAGCTAAAACAAACTTTCTACAAACATTTACCAACTTGCCAGTAAAGACAGTCTCTTAAGTTTATCTTCAGGTATTTTGACATGCCACTTTTAAAACACAGTACCACTTGAGATGTATACGATGATACGGGGCTAAATGGAAGTGATAGAACAAGATTAGCAAAAAAAACAAACAGAGGGAGCATGTGTGCTTGCCTGCATGTACGTACATATAGGTGTAGAAGCCAATGAATGGTGGCTACACACAGATTAAGGCATGTGCAAAGAAAAAAGCACAGTTTGTAAAGTGGGAGAGAAGCTGGGTATAGATGGTGCTGGGTGAATTAGTGTGGAACCTAAATACTGGACTTGACAATTTAGAAAACGAGTGATTATTCTTGTGTAGACAGACCGTCTCATCAAGCAGATAGATAAAACTTTAAAAAAAAAAAAGGGGGGGGATAACAAGGCTGTTGAAAATCCAGGAGCAATTAGATTCAGCACCTCAAGATGTTTTGTTTTTGCCAGGCGAAAACAGGTTCCACCTAACTCAATTTTACTAGTTTGTAATTGAACGAAAAACTACTTTGTCTCTGCCTTTCTTTAACTAACTGCTGGGCTCAAGTTTTCTCTGTAATTTACTATTCAAAGATATTCACACAGTGTTTCATATTTGCTGAAAGGAGGAGGGAAAATAAATCAGGAACTCTCACCAAACAAAGTCTGTTTTCCTTATGATGCCTCAACCGAAGATTAAAGACCAAAGAACTCCATCTCCCAACGCTGGCTATATCAATCACTCATTCTGACAGCCCTCATTGCCGCAATGTCTACACACAGACAGTTGGCTGTGGTAACAGTTGGGGTAATAGGTTGACAAATAATGACTCCAGGAGAGAATGCTGTATGCCGTGTGGCCTCAACCACAGTAATTTTGACACCCACAGGGTCCCATGTTTTACAAGCCACAATGACAACTGTGGTTAGCTGCATGTTGAAAGCATAATCTAAGCATGTCTGTATCTTCTTCTAGGTGGGTAACACTCATAGTTGACTTACAAACAGTTGTTTCCACAAGGCCACATACCCCAAAGTGGATATAAATGTAAGCTGTCTTATCATATCACTCATCATTTTACACAATGTTACCCTGTGAGTCAGTGTTAGCCATGTATATCCAGAATGTTAAATGTGCTAATTCACTATGTAACTGCAGACAGCAGCTTTAACAAGGAAACAAGCCAGCTGTTGTGATCAGTCTTGTATCAGAGGGGGGAAAAAGGAAGAGAAACATGTGGAAATACTTGTTGAACTGAAACCAACACACAGATGCTGAGGCATTTTCCGCCTTTCTGCCGGCCTTTCTTTTAATGCTAAAGCAGCTGGATATGCAGACTAAAGTTCAGGTGGGTGTTGGACATGTGGAGCTTGTGTGTAAAAAATTATAAGAGGAGCAGAAAGGCAGAAGGCTATAAGAAGCTCAACGGATATCAAAAGTGGTATGCTAGGAGGGAATAGAAAGTAATAAGGAGATAAAGCAAGACAGATGAGAGACAGACAGGCAGATGTGCACAACAAAGAATATTTATAAATACTTTATTAATCCCCATGAGGAAATTCTCTTTTCCCTTGGCCCACTTCAGAGACAGATCGCACCAAAGGGTCAGCATCAGATCAGTGCCCCAGAAGCAAGTGGGCTTTTACTCTATTCCTAAAACATAAGCAGAAGATTAAGCTTAAATAGGAGCGATGCATCCCATCACAGGGGTTTGAACTGCAGTACTCTGCTTGAATGGCGGCCTTCACACCCACAAGATTACCTTGATGAAATGTTTATCACCAACCTAATGTTCTTCATTTATCTTGTGCATCATAACTGACTTATAAGTCTAATTCAGTTAAATTACCAAGGCTGTTTTCACACCACAATTTAGCGTTCCAGAAAAAAAAAAAAAAACATGTACAATTTTTTTTTTAACACATTTCTGTGACCGTGCCGTGTTTAAACACACTCCCTCACTGTGCTTTGGATTTAATTTGAGCGAAACTACACATCACATTTACATTCCTGTGAACCATGATAACAGAGCTGAGTCACAACTGATGATGCAGACTTGACTTCACCCCCCAACCCCACATACATTCAAACTCTGCATGAACTATGAAATCCTTCTCCCTCTTTTTTTTTTTTTTTTTTTTTTACCCCTCTCCTCTTTTTCTCCTCCTCATAAACCATTTCTTTTCTGATTTCTCTGCAGAGGGCCCGGTTGCTATAGAGACACACACAAACATCACAGATTCTGACCCCCTGGTTGGCACAATTCTGCTAAATCCAGCTTTTCACAAGCTCTATGAAATAGCCAACCCCCACGCATTTGGAGCCACTCAAACACATGCAGACACACATACACACAGACTTTTCTCTAACCCCTGTATCTTGTACCTGACCTCTCACATGGCCCTTAGCAAAGTACAGTGTTTACCGGTTTAAGCTGCTTCCTGCTACAAAGCCAGCTAATTGCCAGACTTTTTGTTGTGCATAATCTTATTTTCACCACTGACGTAGAATGTGATATGCGATGGGTGTGTGTATGAAGGAGGGAAGCGGGGCATATTAATCATGTTTATTTATCTGGACGAGGAGTTGAAATAAGCGACGAGACATCATTTAACAGCATGCTAAGCTAATCTCTGGTCGAGATAAATACTTCATTTCTCTCCTCTCCCTGTGACGCTCCCTTGCTCACGACTGCTCCGCTGACGCTACATCTAAACACCGGCAATAATAAAGACAATTATTTAGGCCTTTGATAATTATGTGTCAAAGGCAGCGAAAGCCACTAGATAATTGGGCGAAAACTGAATGGTAATCCACAATGGAGTTCCCTGTGGGGAGACAGGCAGACTCATCCCTAGAAAGAATGCAGAGTGAGAGAAAAGAGAGAACCACGCAAAGACAGAAAGATGAGAGCTCTTTAAGGGGCCTTGCTCACTGTCAGATAGTCAATGTGAAAAGCCACAATTATACATAGAGAGAGTGTGCAAAGAGAGAGCAGCAAACAAGA